TGGGGCCGGACACGGGGATCTGGGGCTGGGGACAGGGGCACGGGGCTGGGGACGGGGGACACGGGGCTGGGGACAGGGATTTGGGGCTGGGGACAGGGGCACAGGGCTGGGGACGGGGACACGGGGCTGGGGGACAAGGACACGGGGCTGGGGACAAGGATTTGGGGCGGGGGGACAGAGATACAGGCTGGAGACAGGGACACGGGGCTGGGGGACAAGGACACGGGGCTGGGGACAAGGATTTGGGGCGGGGGGACAGAGATACAGGCTGGAGACAGGGACACGGGGCTGGGGGACAAGGACACGGGGCTGGGGACAAGGATTTGGGGCGGGGGGACAGAGATACAGGCTGGAGACAGGGACACGGGGCTGGGGGACAAGGACACGGGGCTGGGGACAAGGATTTGGGGCGGGGGGACAGAGATACAGGCTGGAGACAGGGACACGGGGCTGGGGGACAAGGACACGGGGCTGGGGACAAGGATTTGGGGCGGGGGGACAGAGATACAGGCTGGAGACAGGGACACGGGGCTGGGGGACAAGGACACGGGGCTGGGGACAAGGATTTGGGGCGGGGGGACAGAGATACAGGCTGGAGACAGGGACACGGGGCTGGGGGACAAGGACACGGGGCTGGGGACAAGGATTTGGGGCGGGGGGACAGAGATACAGGCTGGAGACAGGGACACGGGGCTGGGGGACAAGGACACGGGGCTGGGGACAAGGATTTGGGGCGGGGGGACAGAGATACAGGCTGGAGACAGGGACACGGGGCTGGGGGACAAGGACACGGGGCTGGGGACAAGGATTTGGGGCGGGGGGACAGAGATACAGGCTGGAGACAGGGACACGGGGCTGGGGGACAAGGACACGGGGCTGGGGACAAGGATTTGGGGCGGGGGGACAGAGATACAGGCTGGAGACAGGGACACGGGGCTGGGGGACAAGGACACGGGGCTGGGGACAAGGATTTGGGGCGGGGGGACAGAGATACAGGCTGGAGACAGGGACACGGGGCTGGGGGACAAGGACACGGGGCTGGGGACAAGGATTTGGGGCGGGGGGACAGAGATACAGGCTGGAGACAGGGACACGGGGCTGGGGGACAAGGACACGGGGCTGGGGACAAGGATTTGGGGCGGGGGGACAGAGATACAGGCTGGAGACAGGGACACGGGGCTGGGGGACAAGGACACGGGGCTGGGGACAAGGATTTGGGGCGGGGGGACAGAGATACAGGCTGGAGACAGGGACACGGGGCTGGGGGACAAGGACACGGGGCTGGGGACAAGGATTTGGGGCGGGGGGACAGAGATACAGGCTGGAGACAGGGACACGGGGCTGGGGGACAAGGACACGGGGCTGGGGACAAGGATTTGGGGCGGGGGGACAGAGATACAGGCTGGAGACAGGGACACGGGGACATGGGGTTGGGGTCCAGGACGATGACTGGGCTCAGGGACACAGGGCTGCGGAAAGGGACGATGACTGGGGACAGGGACATGGGGCTGGGGACAGAGATACAGGCTGGGAACAGGAATTTGGGTCTGGGGGACATAGGCTTGGGACAGGGACCTAGAGCTGAGAACAAGAACACAGTTTGGGGTCAGGGATATGGGCTGGGGGACAGGGACACGGGGCTGGGACACAGGGCAGATGGAGCCAGGGTGCAGGTGGCCATGGGGCCAGGCTACAAGGGGGACACAGGACACGGGTGACAGTGGCTGTGGGGGTGGGGTGAAGGGTGACAAGGGGGCTACAACGCCAGGGGCAAGCGAGGCATCTTGTGGCGAGGGGATGGGGGGTGGCGAGGGCCACCTGTGGG